TTTTTGTTTAATAATATAAGTTCTATAAATATTTATATGTAATGTTGACTTATTATTATGTATAAAATGTTTATTAAAACCAAAGTATTTACATTCATAAATAAAATAWGAATTTAATATGTTTAAAAAAAAATACTTACTACTTTTTATTTTATATATTTATTATTATATTATACGATAGTTATATTGTTACAATTTTAATTTGTTTAATTTGTCCAATGTTGCACATAGAAACATTGAAACATATATAGGTACATATATTATCTGAAAACCGTTTCAATTAAATTTTTTCGCACAGCATTCCCTGTTTGTCGAATAAGCAAGACTGGAACTTCTTGAAGTACATCTTCATTAATTAGGGTTTCATTTATTGGTAAAGGGTCATTTGCATTTATCAACATGTTATGCAAAACTGCTGTAGCCATAATTGTGGCTAGAGTAGTTTGTACTTGGGTCCGTATACCAACAGATAACACCGGAAATCTCCGTTTCCACACTCCAAATGTTCGTTCAATCACATTCCTTGTGCCAATTTGAGCTCTCTAAAACAATTAAAAGTATTTAAKTTCTTTACTCAAAACAAATACTATGTTATTTTCTGATTAAAAAATAATTTTATTAACTTAGGTACCTGATATCGTACTTCCGCATCAGTAATTGGATTGGCCAAGGGTGTCATTAAATAGTTACGGCATGCATAACCTCCGTCACCGACAAGTAAGGAGTTATTAAACTCATTACTTTCAACTTGAGCTCTTAACAATGAGCTGTCAAATATAGTAGAATCGTGGACAGATCCCGGCCATCTTGTATGATTATATAAAAAAAAAAATTAAACATTTTAAGTGAATTCAAAATATTGATGGATACTATGTAATTAAATTAAACACTAATTACCGAGCTACAATATTTAAAAAACTGCAAGCGACTACTAAAAACTGCCTGAACGTTGATTGAAAAATAACCCTTCCTGTTGCGAAACTTTTCCCCAATATTACTATATATATGGTCACCAATAACTGCCTAAAATATATCATGTATCAATTTAGTAAATAATAATGCATAATAAGTTTTAATTATGCATGAATATTAATTTTATATTTTTCCTTGCCT